ACCCGCCCGTGCCACCGTCAGAGCAGCCCCTGGCAGCTCAAAAACTCGGAGATTGTGCCATGAAAGGAGTTTTTGCAAGTGGAGCCTTTCCTTGAAGAGAGGAAGAAAATCCTGAGCTGCCTTTGAAGTGGTTCCTGCTCCTCATCCAGTGCTGAAAGGGCTGTGAAGTTGTGTGAAACAAAGGGTAGGTTCTGTTTAGCGTTTGCACCGTCATTTTCTCTCCCCCTGAGAGTGCTTTTTTCATCCAGCTGTACTGTGTTTCTGTTGAGAATGTTGAGATTTGTTAGCTGCATAAATAGGGATTTCTGTGGAGGAGTCTGTAGATGAAATGGCAATAAAATAATTTTATCAGTACCTAAGGAATGCGAGTGTTCAGGATACCTGAACCTAAGCCAGCAGCTGAAACAAAAATCTCGGTGCAGTTCTGTTTGCTTCCAAACAGGGGGACATTGATACTCTGCCTGAACAAAAGAGTTCAAGTGACAGGATCCAAGGTGAGGGCGTGGAGATGCTTTCTGCCCCTCCTGGAGAAGTGAGCTGCTCTCTGCCCCAGCCAAGCCCGTGTCCCTCCAGGGACACAGAGCCTGTGTCCTGCTCTTTGCAGGTGATGTGTTCCCTTTTCCTCCTGGGATTAGACCTGGGCTGTTTCATGAAGAATAATTACATTGGATCTAGGAAAAGATGAACACTGAGGAGGAGAGAATTAAAAAGAAATTATAAAAAAGAAGCAGCCCAAATCCCTCGTGGAAGGGAGCACTTTGCCAGAGTGACACTGAGTCCTCTGGTGAGGTATCCTGGGCTGGGGCTGAGGCTTGGCCAGATCTGTGCCTTAGAGATAGGGCCAGCAGCAAAGCCTGCACAGGCAGCAGGGATCCATTGGTACATGAAACAGGCTGGAGGATGTGAGGATGGCTTCCAGGGATAATGGCCTGCCTTGGGAGCAGGCTCAGAGTCAGCACTGCCCCTCTGCTCTGGGCTGGCCCATGGCAGCTGTCCCATTGCTCTCCAAGATGCACCAGGGAGCTTCCCAGTGTGTTTCAGGAGCTGCTGGAGTGGGGCAGGGGTGCAGCACCCTGGGGGCTCAGCTAAGCCTTCAGCTCACGGGAAGGAGCCCTGTCTGTGTCAGGGTAGTCCCATTCCTGTCTGTGTCAGGGTAATCCCAGCCTTGTCTGTGTCAGGGTAATCCCAGTCCTGTCTGTGTCAGGGTAATCCCATTCCTGTCTGTGTCAGGGTAATCCCAGTCCTGTCTGTGTCAGGGTAATCCCAGTCCTGACTCTGAGCTCTGGCCATGGGGCACTGCTGGTGTGGGACTGGGCATGAGACACCCTGGGACAGAAGGTTTGGTCTTTTTCATGGAATCACAGAATGTCCTGAGCTGGAAGGACCCCCAGGGATCATCCAGTCCAACCCCTGTCCCTGCACAGACACCCCAGCAATCCCAGCCTGGGCATCCCTGGAGCTCCTGGAGCTCTGGCAGCCTCGGGGCCGTGCCCATTCCCTGGGCAGTGCCAGCACCCTCTGAAGGAAGAACCTTGCCCTGAAATCCAAGCTAACCCTGCCCTGGCCCAGCTTCCAGTCTGCTTTTCCTGTCCCCACAGAAAGCTGCCCCATAACCCCACATCACCAAGCTCTCTGAAGGGGACAGGCAGGGAGGCATGAGCCAGGGAGGGGGCCCTGGCAGCTGTGACAGTGCCCGGGGCAAGGGGGACAAGAAGAGCATCCAGTACTGTGTGAAGCCACACCTCTGACAAAATCCCCTCATTTTCTGAGGATGTTTGGATACTGGCTCCACCCAGGAGCTCTAGTGGAGGTGTTCTGCCCACAGCAGCTGGAGCTGATGCCCTTTAAGGCCCCAACCCAAACCAGTCTGTGATTCCATGAGTAGTGGTTTGGGGCCAAAATGTGTCGGTCAGTGTATGCTGAGACCAAGATCTCAGATCCACCTAGTGGAAGGATTCTTTATCCTCAGGATCCTCCCTGGTGCCCTGTCCTGACACTGAAGGGCTGCAGTGCTTCCTGGGGTAGCCTGGAAGGATTTTAGCAGGAATTGCCCAAAGGGAAAAGGTTGGAGCTTCCCTGGCTCGTTCTGCCCTCCTTCACCCTCAGGAGTTTCAGGTGGCTGTTCCCAACTTGCATTTTTGGGACCCTGGGAGCTGCCCCTCCGTTCCAGGCTGGTCTGTGCACAAAGATAAAGCAGCCCCACAGCCTTCACTGCCACCCATCTGGAGGGTTTTTCTCACTGACTCCTCTTCCTCTGTGTTCTCCTCATGACTGGAGTGGAGTAACAGCTGCTTTTTGTGACAACACCGAGTGTGGAGCATCCTGGGCTGCTTTTATATCCTGATGCTTTAGATCGTTAAATTCTCACGGCTTAAGCTCTTTATTTCTTGTTTTGCTGTGCTTATGAGAGGATCTCCTGGGGCCCTATTGTACAACAAATACAAATAATCCATGAATAAAACAGCCTGACTGTTTGTACTGCAGGCAGTCTGCAAGGATTGCTCCCAGATAACGTTTTGGGATATTACTCATTTTGATCTGTGCCTTCTACCAGTGTTTCTCTGCTCAACAGCACTGCAGAGATGTTGCCCTCTGGAAAGAGGCTTCTCCAGATTAATTTCTGATTTTTCTACCTGGTTGCTCTCTGCCTTTGGCAGAGTTTCAGTTTCCTTCTGTGCTCTCCCTGCCCAGCTGTGGTGAGTTCTGCAGGTTATGGGGTAGCTCAGGTGTTGCAGTGGTGCACACAGAGGCTGCAGTTGTTTCTCGGCAGGGCTGCCCCGGGGGGGAGAAGCCCTTTAAATTCTCTGATAGCACGTTTAGTTTTATGAAGTCCTTGACCTTAAACTTCTCAATGAGCTGGGATGTGAATTGGAGAGCAGTAAAATGAGATTTAAACGGGAGAAAGCCCCACTTCCCTGCCTGGGAGGATGTGCTGCTCTCACTGGGGCTGCTGTGAAACAGGACCAGTTATGTTAAATACAAACTGGTATTTACTGGTGCCTTGAAGCTGCTGCACTTGTTCCCCACTGGGAGCTGCCCTTTGGGGAGCCAGTTCTCGTTAATTGGTATCCAATCATTGCACAGGATTGACGGGTGTGTGCACTGCAGATTTTCCTTCTCGGATCTTTTCCCTCTACTTTCTTCTTCCCCTGTATGTGCAAACACCGTGTTTATTTTTCTGTATTAGCTCCTCTACTGTTCTCTCTTCAGTAATTAACAGTTGATTTCCTGCTTGTCTCTTGACCTTTCTTTTGCCAATCCATTCAAATCACAAGAATTTCTTGTTCTTTAAATATCTGCTTAAATGCCATGTGTAGAGGTCAGCTGGTTTAGTTCTTGACATATTTGGAAGAAGATGTTCCTGGTGTTCATTTGTTTCTCTTCTAGTTATTGCTTAGTAAATAACCTAGAAGGTTTGCATAGCAAATTGGTGTAAAATTACTTTTCCCCCTGTGGAACACACAGAAATGGGGGGTAGGTGAGTGATACCTTGATTTTTATACAGAGGACAGAATTCACTGACGTGGCAGTCGGTTTCTGAAGGACTAAAATGTTCCTTCTCTGGGCACCGTGTGCCAGGGCCTCCCCTCCCTCACAGGGAGGAATTTCTTCCTCCTGGTCCTGTCCCTCCATCCCCTGTCCCAAGTCTCTCTCCATCTTTCCTGTAGCTCATTCAGGTTCTGCAAGACCACAGTTAGGTGACCCCAAATCTCCTCCTGTCCAGGTGAACATTCCCAGCTCTCCCAGCCTTTGCTCCCAGCAGAGCTGCTCCATCCTTGCTCATCCTGGAGCCTCCTCTGGGCTCCTCCAGCAGCTCCAGCTCCTCCTGTGCTGGGCCCAGGGCTGGGGCACTCTGCAGGTGGGGTCTCACCTGGGCACAGGGGCAGAATCCCAATCTCTCCCCTGATGCCCACACTGGGATCAGTATTTACATTTTCCAGTCCACAGTATGCAGGAACAGCAAAGGAGTTAATCCAAACTGCAGATTTGTCAGAAAATTGCTCTATAAATAACAATAAATTCCAAAAATAAGTGAAATAGAACATCAGTAGAAGATGAAGGAAACAAGTGGCTGTGAGGAGTGAGGAGTGGATTTGTTCCATGGTCAAGTGCTTGTGTTGAGAGGCCTTTTGTCACCAGTGACTCCTTTGGAGAGCAGCCCTTGGAGTGAAAATCAGAATAACTCCAAGCAGAGAAGTTCTGGGAACTGCTCCCAGGGAACAGGGACAGGAGGAGAGGGAATGGCCTTAGGCTGGGCCAGGGCAGGCTCAGGGTGGATTTTGGGGAAATTTCTTCACTGAAAGGTTGTCAAACACAGAACCAGGCTGTGCAGGGAGGTGGTGGAGGGGTTTAACAGCCCTGTGGATGTGGCACTTGGGGACATGAGGCAGTGGTGGCCTTGGCAGTGCTGGGTCAAGGTTGGACTCGATGTTTTGAGGGCTTTTCGAACATAAATCATTCCATGTTTCTGTGAGAGTCCCCAGTGCTGATCCAGCTGGAGGCACTAAAACATCTGTAACTGATAGGGAGGTTTTGTGCCTGGGGAAGCAAATCTGAGAGACATTTCCTGCTTATTTTGCCATTGAGTTAAACCCCTGTTTAACAAAACAAAGTGCCTGGGATGTGAGGTCTGCAGAGGGAGGATTTGTGTGGCACCAGGTGGCTCAGCCCAGGTGAACGGAGCAGATTTCCTCAAGGAACAGGTTTGCTTCGGTCTCTGAGTTCTTAGAATAAAATAATTATTTCATTTCTTTTTCCTGTTTGAATCTGTATGCAAGACTGGAACATCTTCCCTGGATCAGAATGGGATGTCAATGGGATTTTTCCTTTGTTCCTGGGTCAGCATGGAATGTCAGTGGAATTTTTCCCTTGTTCCTTGGTCAGCATGGGATATTAATGGGATTTTTCCTTTGTTCCTGGGTCAGAATGAGATGTCAATGGAATTTTTCCCTGTTCCTGGGTCAGCATGGGATATTAATGGGATTTTTCCTTTATTCCAGCAACAACGCACTGTTTATAGGCTGACCCTGGTGAAAGCTTGGAATGTGGATGAACTCAAAGCTTATGCTGACCTGATATCCCTTGGGAAACCAGACTTCATTGAGGTCAAGGTGAGCTACATGGAGCTGTTTAAGTTTTTCCAGCAGTATTTTCCATTGTTTTGTCCCCATTTTCCCCTTGCCTTTAGTCTAAACTTTCTGAGTGAGTCAAATTCTTCTGAAGTGATGCATAAGAAACTCCTCTCTTGCTTTTAATATTAGTGAATGTGTAGTGTTTTCTAGTATCCTGTGTGTGCCTTTGGAGCAGGTTTGCCTGTGCCACAAACCAAACTTTAGACCAGCCAGCCTCGATTTCTGCCCAACAGACTCATCACTCTCTGGCCTTTCTTTGTATTTCTGTGAAAACAAAGGTAACAGAATAATCAGAGACAAAGATAAATAGATATTCTTTCTTTATACCAACTATCAGTTAAAACAAAATATTCCAGGTTCAGCTGGTAGTTTGGGGTAGGATTCTTCCCATCCTGGTCTTGAGGTTTGCCAGGGAAAAGGTGGAAAGTTCAGTGATGTGTTTGTGTTTGGCTGGATTTGAGGGCTGCCAGCAGATGTGAGATACAACAGGGCAGGAGGGGCTTTATCGTGGGCTTAATCAATTCAATAAATAGAGACTGTAAAAAAACCTTACAAACTTATAAAAAAGGCACTTCCCACATGCTCTGAGCATTTTCACCCAGCAGCTCCTGCAGAGAGCACAGCAGTTTATGCAACTCTGTTACTCCTGGACTGTCCTTTTTCTTTTCTCTTTTCCTTCTCTTGAATATATTTTTTAACTTTCTTTCATTTTTTAACCTTTTCTTTTATATTTTTTAACCTTTTTATACTACTGCTATGAAAAAAAAGCCTGGATTTTGCTGTGAAGGTTTGATACCTTCTGTCAGCATGGAGAGTTTTTCTCTCTAGGCATGCTGCTAAAGTTGGGAGCTTCACCCTTGCTCGGGTTTGGAGTTTGGTTTGGAGAAAACCCCTCGGTTTTCCACCTTCCTGGGTGTTTCCCTGGCTGTGCAGGATCGTGCCAGGGAGGGGAGGGCAGGGATGGAGCAGAGGCTGTGGGGCTGGTTCTGCCTGGGGCATTAATGTTAATTAGTGAGATCAGGCGGTGCCAATGGATGTTCCAGCACTGATTCCCCCAGGAACTCTCCAGGGCAAACATCTGTCTCCCTGCTCTTCCCTGTGCCTCCCAGTGCCACAGTCCTGGCACAGTCCAGCTCTACCCTGGAAAAAGCCTGCCTTGCTCTGCCAAGGAAATAGAGGGTCACAGGTGAGGGCTCACAGGTGTACTCCTGGTGCTCCTCCAGCTGGGACAGGGAAATTCATGGATTTTGAACCCTGTCTGTGGGAGCTGGGACAGGGAAATTCATGGATTTTGAACCCTGTCTGTGGAGCTGGACAGGGATATTCATAGATCTCTGAACCCTGTCTGTAGGAGGTGAAACAGGGGTTTATCTGGATTTCTGAATCCTGTCTGTGGGAGATGGGACATGGAAATTCATGGATTTTTGAACCCTGTCTGTGGGAGCTGGGACAGGGAAATTCATGGATTTCTGAACCCTATTCTGGGAGCTCTGAACACAGCTCTCCTGTGAGGTGGGACAGGGAGGGGCTGGCTAACATTCCCAGAATCCAGCAGTGGGATGGTGGCACTGGAGGTCCAGCCTCAAACTGTGCTGCTCACACAACATTTGAGACTTGGCATTTTTCCCCAAAACACTTGGTATTTTTGACTGTAAGTAATTTTTTGTGTTCCTTTGGGAATAAAGCATACTTGGGATGTGCATAGGCCTCAGCATTCCTTTCTCCAGCCCCTCAGTGTGCCAGGGTAAAAAGCCAAGGACCAGGTGGTGCTCAGAGCCAGCCAGCAAAGAGTGATGAGGAGATTGTGCAAAGCTCTGCCTGACAATGGGGCTGAGCTTGGGGATTTTCTGGTTGAAGACTTGGGATAAATGATGTCCATTTTAGATGAAGGAGCTAATCCAGTGTTGCTCCAGAGAGGCTCAGGGGGTGGATGGAGAGAGATTTAGATTCTTGCAGGGCTTAATGCTTGTTCTCATTTCCATGAGTGCTCACAGTGCTGTAACTCTGTGGGACCCCATTCTCCCACTTAAGCCAACAGTAAAGGGAGACTCAGTCATTAAAAATGCATCAAATTGATTTATTGCCTTAATCTGTTCTAATGCCAGTGTGTCACTGTCACACTTGTAGAGAGCTGATGGTTGTATTTAAGGTTTGGAACAAGCCAGAACTCCTTTCATTCCCATGCTGCCATCTTTGGGTTCTGAAAGCCAGAGGTTTGTTTGATGTACAGCATTTTTGTGTCCAGGGCAGGGAATGGAGCTGGGAAGGGGCTGAGCCCCAGGAGCAGCTGAGGGAGCTGGGAAGGGGCTCAGCCTGGAGAAAAGGAGGCTCAGGGGGACCTTGTGGCTCTGCACAGCTCCTGCCAGGAGGGGACAGCCGGGGGGTCGGGCTCTGCTCCAGGGAACAGGGACAGGAGGAGAGGGAATGGCCTCAGGCTGGGCCAGGGGAGGCTCAGGGAGGATTTTGGGGAAATTTCTTCACTGAAAGGAAGGCCAGGCCCTGGCACAGGCTGTGCAGGGCAGGGGTGGAGCCCCCATCCCTGGAGGGATGTGAAAGATGACTGGACATGGCACTTGGGGACATGGGTTAGGGTGAGCTCAGCAGTGCTAGGTCAGTGACTGGGCTCAGCCTGAGGGGTCTGTCCTTGCTGAATTCTAGAATCATGGAATGGTTTGGGTTGAAAGGGACATTAAAGCCCATTCAGTGCCACTCCTGCTGTGCTCCAAGCCCCATTCAGCCTGGCCTCAGACACTGCCAGGGATCCAGGGGCAGCTACAGCTGCTCTGGGCAGAGTGAAGCTTTGGCACTCAGCTCACAGCATTGGTGTGAGCTCCAGCCTGAGCAGAGCCTTCCTGCTTCCCCCTATCCCTCAGAATTTAAGGAAGAAACCCAAGGCTGCCAGGCTGGCCCTTTATCCCAAGCCTGTCCATGCCATGGTGTCTGAGGGCAGGACTTGGGCACAGCAGGGATCCAAGTCATGGCAGAGAATCTTCCAAGCCTTTGTGAAGGTTTTCAGTCACTAGGAAGCTCTTTCCCTGCTTGCTGATTTTGTTCATGTAGTTGGATAATCTCAGTGTCCAGCCCAGCTCCTGCAGATCCTCCAGTACCAGAGGCTTGGCTGCAGAACTGAAGTGACCCAAGTACATGTGTGCAAGGAAGGGCCAGAGGGAGGTGTCTGTCCCAGTCTGCTCACTCTTGTCAAATTAAACAGTAAAGATTATTTAATTGCTTAAAATAATGAGGAAAATGAGCTGTGCCTTAATGAGTTTTTAATTGCATGCAGTAAGAGGTGATTGCCCCCACCTGTCAAACATCCATTCAGAATCCTGTTGCCATCCCAGCTGAAATTTAGATGAAGAGGTGAAGCTGAATCACCCATTTTGGTGCCTGCTGTGAATAAACCTAAGCAATGTATGATTTTCACACCTGAAAAAAGACCAGCATTGGCCACTTGCTGCTAGAGAATCACAGAGTCATTTGGGCTGGGAGGGACCTGCAGGACTGAATCCAACCACTCCCAGCACTGCCAATGTCCCCAGGTGCCACATCCATACATCTGTTAAATCCCTCCAGGAATGGGGACTGCACCACCTCCCTGGCAGCCCCTTCCAAAGCCTGACCACCCTTTCCATGAAGAATTTTTCCCTGATGTCCACCCTGAGCCTCCCCTGGCCCAGCCTGAGGCCGTTCCCTCTCCTCCTGTCCCTGTTCCCTGGAGCAGAGCCCGACCCCCCGGCTGTCCCCTCCTGTCAGGAGCTGTGCAGAGCCACAAGGCCCCCCTGAGCCTCCTTTTCTCCAGGCTGATGGGTGGAAACCATCTCCAGTCCTCCCTGCAGCCTGAAGTGACACAAAGGATTGATGGCCTTTGTTAAATCAGCTTGAAAGTGATGATTAAAAGCAGCCAAGGAGTCAAATCCTGGCTGAATCCACTGCAGCAGGAGCCTTGTGAGGCCTTGTGGCTGTAATTTGGGGAGTGCTGCTACTCAGCTCAGGAATGTTTTCATTGCAGAGATGGCAATCAGTGTGGCATTGAGGCTTTTGATATTTGTCTGGGGTCATGGCTGGCCCAGATTTTAAACAGTGTCTCTGTCACTCAGCAGCTTGGCCTACACTTCGTTCTCTGTTAATTTGCACGAGCCTCAATTAAATTTATAATTTGTGGGCCCAGAGTGAAGAGAATTGTTTTGTTCAGTAATTCAATTGGGAAGTCTGGAGTGCGAGTGGAGAAACAAAGCACTGTCAGCTGTAGTTGTTTCCTTCAGAGCCCTGCTGGTTGAAAGGAGTGCTGGCTGTCTGCATCCCGGGGCAGGAGCCAGGTCCTGGGGGCAGGAATGTGCTTCCCTTGCTTCCCACAGCATCAGCAGCCACCCTGGCACAGGTTCTGAGCAATCCACTTGTGCTCAATCAGCTCCCTTAGAGCCGAAAATCAGCCCTGGGCCCAGCACAGGAGGAGCTGGAGCTGCTGGAGGAGCCCAGAGGAGGCTCCAGGATGAGTAGAGGATGGAGCAGCTCTGCTGGGAGGAAAGGATGGGAGGGCTGGGAACATTTGGGGTGACCTCAGTGTGACCTTCCAGGACTTGAAGGGAGCTTGCAGGAAAGATGGAGAGAGACTTTGGACAAGGGCCTGGAGGGACATGACAGGGAATGGCTGTGTCCAGAGGGAAGGGATGGATGGGATACTGGGAATTAGGAATTGCTCCTGGCAGGGTGGGCAGGCTCTGGCACAGGTGCCCAGAGCAGCTGTGGCTGCCCCTGGATCCCTGGCAGTGCCCAAGGCCAGGCTGGACAGGGCTGGGAGCAGCCTGGGACAGTGGGAGGGGTCCCTGCCATGGCAGGGGTGGCACTGGATGGGATTTAAGGTCCTTTCCAATCCAACCCATTCCATGATTCTGTGAACTCCATAGAGTGCCCAGCACAATTGCTCTGGATTCATCCTGGCAGAACCAGAAGAGCTGTGATGCTTTTCAAAGGCTTCTGCTTTTCAAGGTACTTGGCCAGAGCTCTGTGGATTAGGCTGCTCAAAGCATCCTTATTAAGCAGGTAATTAAGAGGCAGAATCGTTGCTGTTCCTGCCACAGGGAGGTTGGGGAGAGAGCTCTGGGTGAACAATGGGATCCTTTCCTTTTTAATTCTTGATGTCTTAATAACTGTCTTCATGTACTCCTGCAAAGCGGAACGTGACCGCCCTCATCAACTCCACATGGGTTTTAAGTGCTATCAGCTGTTAATTAAATCCAGTTTGAAGAAGTTGGGGAAGTTGAAAGCTGCTTTCCTTCGGTGTGCTGGAAGCTGATTCCCATTGATTTGTGCTGGGAATTAATCAGCCAGCCAAGCGCTCAGTTATTCCATTTGCCTCTGTGCTTCCTTTGCTTGTAAACGATACCTTTGTAGTTTGCTGAGAGCATGAATCATGTTGGGGCTTCTGAAGAATCTCCCCCCTCTATACTCATACATTTCTCATGCTGCTCAAATCATAATCTGGATAATGAGTGCAGAGAGAATATTGCTGTGTGTCTCCAGCTTAACTTTGGGGAACCAATGAGGATATGGTAAGAGAGGAGTATAAGGTGAGGCAAATAGCTTATGAGTCTATCAGGGAAAAAGGAGGGGGGAATAATATAAATAACAAATGGGGTGTCAAGGGCAACAAGACAGACACAGAACTCTCTGGAGAAAGGGTCAGGGATAGGGAGGATTGACAACTTGGAAGGGAGGAGGTTAGGGAAGGGCTTGGGAAAACTGGCAACTGGGAAAGGGAGGGGATTAGGCAGGAGAACAGGGGCAAACATGGATTCAAAGCAAAACACAGCACAACAGGGATCCAAACCCCTGATTTGAGTGGCTGGCTGCTCTGATATAACACTGACTAATCGAGAACAAACATGTTTAAACTCTGGGTTCAGACTTACAGAGCTAAAAAAGCCTGCTCCTGTTGAGCACTCCCTGGCTTGTGGCCTGTCAGTCTTCCTTCAGGCTGGCTCTGAGTTATGGTGCCTAGGCAGATTAATGGGGGGAGTCCCTCATAAATTTATGGGTGAGAAAGTAATTGCTTCCAAAACTTGTAGAGTTCCCAAGTAGCAGCAGGCTGTTGCTCCTGCAGCCTGTGTGTGCACTGTGCTCTGTTTGAAAATGTTGGCAAAGATTTGTCTGCACGTTCCATGTCCAAGGAAGTGCAGGTAAATCAGGAATTAGGAGCATGGTGGCAAGCTGGAGCAGGTGCCACACATGAACCTGGATGCAAATTCCATTTAAAGAGGTCAAAGTGTTCTTCCCAGGGGGAAAACCACAAGCAGGCCAGACATAACATCCATGAAAGTGTAAGGAGGGAGGGAGGAAAGGAGGAAGTGACATCATGGCTGAGACTAAATCAGTAATTTGGGAGGTTCAGGTGATCACATCTCCAAATTAGGAGTAGCTGGTCCCTGAGTGGTGAGGCAGGATAAGGCAGGGCTGGACATGGCACTCAGTGCTCTCAGCTGGGTGACACAGTGGAGACTGGTCACAGGCTGGACTCAGTGATCCTGGAGGATTTTTCCAGCCTCAGGAATTCTGGATTCAGAAGCTGAATGGGGTGGATGGGCTGGGGAAGAGCTGGAGCTGTTGCACTCCCTGAGCAGTCCCCCAGAGCAGCAGTGCTCATGTCCTGGCTCTGTGTGGGGACAGAGGGACACGAGTCTTGCTCTGGGCTCTCTGTCCATGTGAGCTGGGGGGGTTGGGGAGGGAGCTGGAGCAGGAGCCCTGTTTCCCTGGCACCCCAGGATCTGCAGGGGAGGTGTCCTTGAATGATGTCACCTCTCAGGGTCAGTTCTGGGGGGGCCTCCAGAACATGACCCAGAAGCTGCTTCCCAAAGCTCCAGTGGTCCCACCAGGGAGGGACTGAGCTTTGTGTCAGTCTCTCCTGTGCCAGGGATGCTCCCAGTGCCCATCACCTCCATGGGCACGGGGTGGCTACGGCCCACCCAAGGACCTGCTGGGTTTGGGTACAGGTACAGGAGGGTAGGGCAGAAATCACAGCCTGGGCTTGGAAGGAAGAGGCCCAGAGCTCGTTCCCTCTGTGGCACATGGACAGGATGTCTGGGACTGTCTCACTGACAGGGCATTGGTTGCCCATGGGACTCTTCAGACTTGTCATGTTTCCAACCCCTTGGTCACTTGAGAGCATCCTGCTTTTTCCTGTTCAAGCAGTGTTGCAGGATCAAGGCCAGCCTGTGTGTCACTGCTGGGGACACCTGGCACGGTGCTTTGGGGGTGTGTCACTGCAGGAGGGACCCATTTTGGTGCCATCTCCAGATCTGTGACCTTGCCGTGGGGTTGGGTGTGAGGGGGCAGAGCCGCAGCTGCAGGTTCTGCTGTGGCTGGCACTGCCAGGGCTGGGGGGCTGAGCTGAGCTGACTGTCCCGTTTCCCTGTGTCCCCAGGGTGTGACCTACTGCGGGGAGAGCTCTGCCAGCAGCCTGACCATGGCCAACGTGCCGTGGCACGGGGAGGTGGTGAGCTTCGTGCGGGAGCTGGCGCGGCTGCTCCCGGACTACGGCATCGCCTGCGAGCACGAGCACTCCAACTGCCTGCTGCTGGCCCACAGCAAGGTGAGCCTGCCTGGGGAGGGCACTGCTGCCTTCTCTGCTTCTAACAGCCTTCTTCTCCTAGGCTGGAAGAGCCCTCTGGGGTCTTTGTGTGCAGCCCAGCAGTGCCAAGGCCACCCCTGCCCCATGTGCCCAAGTGCCACCTGCACACCTGTGTTAAACCCCTCCAGGGATGGGGCTCCACCCCTGCCCTGGGCAGCCCATTTTCACTGCAGCTGGCCCCCAGCCAGGTAATAATTAGCATTCCATGATTCACAGAAGGCTGATCAATTGCTTTATTGTATTAAACCCATTGCTTTTTTATACAGTTACAATACAGCTGGACTTGATTGGTCCTTCAGTCAAAACCCATCACCATTGGCAGATTAAGAAACCATCCTTTGGTAAACAAATCTCCGCAACACATTCCACATGTTCCCAACAACAGGTGCAGCAGGTTGAGATAAGAATGGCTTCTCATTCTTTTGTCTGATCTTCTCACAGACTTTTCCCAGAGAGGCCTGGAAAAGTTGTGTTTCTCTCTGTGGCCAGAGAGCTGCTGCCACAGTCCATTCCAAAGCTTCCCACTAGCCAGGAGAATCCATGGTGTGCCCAGGATTCCAGCCCTTCATACCCCTGGATGCCACTCGGAGCCAAGGGATGCTCTGTTATTTTCCTGTTGCTCTGAGCCACCTCTCCAGAGGCAGAATCACCACATTTGAATCACAGAACCACAGAATCATTTGGGTTGGAAAAGCCCAACCACTCCCCCAGCGCTGCCAAGGCCACCACTGCCCCATGTCCCCAAGTGCCACAGGGCTGTTAAACCCCTCCAGGGGTGGGGACTCCACCACTGCCCTGGGCAGCTGTGCCAGGGCTGGACAGCAAATTCCAGGAAGGAATTTCCCCAAAATCCACCCTGAGCCTCCCCTGGCCCAGCCTGAGGCTGTTCCCTCTCCTCCTGTCCCTGTTCCCTGGAGCAGAGCCCGACCCCCCGGCTGTCCCCTCCTGTCAGGAGCTGTGCAGAGCCACAAGGTCCCCCTGAGCCTCCTTTTCTCCAGGCTGAGCCCCTTCCCAGCTGCCTCAGCCTCTCCTGGGGCTCAGCCCTTTCCCAGCTCTGTACCCTCTTCTGGACATGCTCCAGCCCCTCAGGGTCTGCATTGTCATGACAGCTTCTCTGAGCAGCCTCTGCCAGGGCCTCACCACCCTCATGGTAAAACAATATTATATCCAATGGAAATTGACCCTGCTGCTATTTAAACCCATCAGCCCTTGCATTAGGTCCTGCTGGAAATGTTCATCACTATCTCCCCTTCAAGTACTGGAAAGGAAATGAAATCAAATACAAGTGAAATGCCAAAAAATATGTTTAAAGGATGCAGGAAATTAAAAATAATGAGTACGTATTTGCTTTCTGAGCTTCAGAAAAGATTAATAGAACGACAGCAGAAAAAGATAATAGTACGCCAGCTGAGCACCTGGTCAAATTGTAGATTTCTGGAATGCTTTGGAAGGACCCTAAAGGGTTGGAAGGACCTTAAAGCCCATCCCATTCCATGGGCAGGGACACCTCCCACTGTCCCAGGCTGCTCCCAGCCCTGTCCAGCCTGGCCTTGGGCACTGCCAGGGATCCAGGGGCAGCCACAGCTGCTCTGGGCACCTGTACCAAGGGCTGCCCACCCAGGGAGGAACTTCTCCTGAATATCCAATCTAAATCTACTTTGGAATCTGCAAAGAAAGCAGGTGGGAATGAGCAGAGAAAACCAGGACACCTGGCACTGGTTGTGTTTGATCTCACCTTAAATTGGTTTTATTTACAGCCTCACTCCTGGCTGTTGCCACTGGCAACTGTTCCTGAGAAAGCAAAACCTCCTTTTGCATTGTAAAGTCCAGGAAAGCAAACAAACAGATTGCAGAAACCTTCTTGAGGCAGAATTTAAGTAACACCATTAGCAAAGAGAATAAATTGGTACCTGTCCAGGAGGAATTCAACAGCTGCTTCTACTTCCACAGCCATTAGCAGAGGGTGTCTGTGGGAAACAATCTGTCCTCAGTGCTAAAATAGCTAATAAAAAATAAATTTATTTCCATTAGGGTTTAATTTTTGAGTTTCAGGCTCTAGTGGAGAATATAATCTGTCAGTGCCTATTATTTGCAGGAAAACCTGTGCTCTGGGATTGATTAAACTGGAGTGAGTAATTGCAAAATCAAAGGGGTGTTTAAAAAATTACGGAGTTGCAGGAGGAGTGTAATAAAAACCATTAAGAAATGTGATTTATTTAACTGTGTTTTCCTAGGTCTGAGTTTGGAGGTGTTCAAACAATGCTCCTGATAAAGTTGAATGCTGCCATTGAACACCAGCCTGTAGGAAAGAGTCTGGGAGTGTCAGGAATAATTCATCCTGCAGCTGCTGCCTGGGATGGATGGCACTCGTTGATTGGCACCTGCTTGTGATGAGTGACAGTTCAGGACTTGAGCTCTGAAGTCTGGTAGGGGCAGGGATTTAGGGAGAAAGGGGATTTTAAGGGTCCCATTTGAACCTCAGAGAGCTTTGGATCCCTGGGGATCTCAAAAAAGTCCTAAAAACTGAATCCTCACAGCAAGGTGTTGGATTTGCACTTACCCTTCCCACAGCCCTAAAGTTCACCCCAGAGAACAACCCCTGTGCTCTGCTCCCCAGTAGTGTTGGAAACAGAAAAAGGTTTAATAAAAGGCAAAATAATAAAGCTCTTACAGAGTAAAACTGAGTTAGGGACAAGAGGCTCTTGCTCTTGCTAAAACACTCCACAAAAGTGATTATTTCCTTTGTTCTCTTCTTTTTCTAGTGAATTACCTTTTGTCATCTGTCCAATTGGCAGCCCCAGGTTTGAGGTGAAGTCTCAAAGGTCCTATGAGGTGTCTTTTTAGCAAATTGAGGAGGGAAACTTCTGGGCTTTTTTTCCTTTTTAAGCAGACAGGATAATTTGGTCACTCCATCAACAGGGGGCACATTCCTACACAACAGTGCTGAATTCTTGAGTGATTCTCTTTGCTTTTGAGTAAATCCCATAAACCATGGTCACAAAAATGGGATTTATGGCATCACTTTGAACTAATGGGATGAGATACTGACACAGCAGCAACTTTCTAATGGAACAGCTAATTCCAGGGACCTTTTCCAGAGAGGGGCCTGAGGCTGCTGCTGTTCCTGGCTGGGACAGTCAGTGCACCCGCAGGAGGACCAAAAGAGCTCCTGAGAGTGCTGCAGCTGCCTCGCAGGGAGGATTTCTCTGAAGGAAATTCAATATCTTGGTCATTTCTGGACTAAGTCCCTGTGCCCTATGGCGCTGGATTTGCTTTCCATGTGTGTTCCACCCTTGTGTCCTTGTCCTGAAGCACTTCCAGCCCGTTTTCTTCATTAACCCTTTCCCCCCTGGAGCAGGTGGTTGTTTTCCAGCTCCCTGGGGCTTTATAACACCTGATTCAGTGGGTGCTGAGGCACTGGGATCCCAGAGCTCTGGGGCAGGACAGGAGGGTTCCATGTCCCAGCATCCCTGTGACCCCAGGGCTGATTTCTGTCTCACTGGGGGATGCACAGCTCAGGGAATGCTCCCAAAATTCCAGTGCCTGCTCTGTCTGGAGGTCTCAGCTCACAGGGTGGCATGAGTAGTGTGGGCTCAGCACCCTGTTGCCATCAGCCCTTTATGCTTTAATTAATCTGATAGGTCTGGGATTGGTTGGAAAAGCCCTCCAAGATCAAGTCCAACTGTCCACCCAGCAGCACCACCATGTCCCCACATGCCACATCCATTTGCCTTTGGGACACTTCCAGGCATGGGGACTCCAGCCCTGCCCTGGGCAGCTGTGCCAGGCTCTTACCACCCTTTCAGTGAGGAAATTTTCCCTGATATCTAACCTGAACCTCCCCTGGCACAATTTGTGACTGTTTTCTCTTGTCCTGTCCCTTGTTCCTGGGAGAAGGGACCAACAGCCCCCAGAAAGACTGCACAAGCAGTGTCCATCCCTGGATCCAGACACTCCCTCGTGCTCCAGCCCTTCCTTGCCTCACCAGCTGGATTCTCTCCCTGTTGGATGTGGTCTGGGATAGCCTTGTGTTCTCCAGCATGGCAGGGTCATCCACAAAGGGACAGGTTTTTGGGGACATCCCTTCAATAAGTTCATTTCCCATACCCAAACACCCTTGTGAGGGTGGGCAGGCCCTGGCACAGGTGCCCAGAGCAGCTGTGGCTGCCCCTGGATCCCTGGCAGTGCCCAAGGCCAGGCTGGACAGGGCTTGGAGCAGCCTGGGATCATGGAAGGTGACATGGCAGGGGTGGGATGGGCTTTAAGGTCCCTTCCCACCCAAGCCAATCCAGGATTCTGTGTGGCTGTAGTGTTGGGGGTATCACAGCACCTCCAGGGCAGGTGTTGGGGACAGGGAACGGCCTGGCCAGAGGTGCCCATCCCTGTCCTTCAGCCACAAAACCATCCCAGCCAGGAGGCATTTGGCCTTTTCCTGCTGGGGTGGGCCTGGGCAGCTCCAGAGCTCGGGGACAGGCACTGAAATGTTCCATGCTGAGCATCCCACGCTGAGCATCCCAGCTATATTTAGGGAGGAAAAGGAAGCACTTCACTCCCAGCTGCACATCCCCTGACAAGGGGTGCATCAGGGACAAAGAGTCCATCACGTTCAGTTCCTTCCTGCCTCTGTCCTTCAGAGAGTGGCAGCTGTCCTTGTGATCCAGATCCAGGGACAGCATCACGGGGAGACTTGGAGGCAGAGGGTCACAAAGAGATGAACATCCCGGGATCTGTAGCAGAGCAGGGGATGGTGTGGAGCCCAGGTGTGGACAGGGTGACCCCAGGTGTGGACAGGGTGACCCCAGGTGTGACCAAAGTGTCTCAGCAGCCGAGCAGCCTCCTTAGAGCAGCTGTGAATGGTGGAATTCCCGAAAGTTTTCTCCCCTTTCCCGTGTCTCCTGGCAGCAGGAAGGTGGCTCTGCTGGGCTGGCTGTCAGTGATGAGAAGCAGTTCTCCGTTGTGCT